ATGTTGAATTTCCCTGTAGAGGTCTATAACTGCTTTTATGTGGGTTAGCACAAGAGAGCTTATAGTTTTTCTCTGGTTCTGAAGTAGAACTTGATTTTTAGTCATATCCTCTCTTTCTTCAGGAGATAACTTTGTAGAAGAAAACTATTCAAATAAACTGTCATGATGCAGGTACGTAAGGGCATACTGCCTCGTTTACTAGAGGAAATATTGTCAACCAGAATAATGGTAAAGCAAGCAATGAAAAGATTAACATCTCCACAGCAAGTTCTTTACAGGGTAAGGCCTGGGCACCTATAAATTCATTACTGGAATCAGGTAGATGCTTAGCTTGGCATGACTAGTTTTTTTATATTTTTTTTGCTCAGGGCAATTTCGCACTCCTCCTCTAATTTAAATGTCTGCTTGAAACTATGGTTTCTTGTGCCTTGTTGACTCCTCTGCTCTATGTAGTTTGCAGGTCAACGTTTAGTACGATATAAACACTGAAATTTTGACTGCTCTCGTTTTTCAAAATATGATGTGAAATCATGAAAGGTGGTTAAGCAGCTCTTCTCTTATTTCAGATTTTTAATGCGAGGCAACTTGCTTTGAAGCTAATAGCCAATGTAACCTATGGCTATACTGCTGCGGGTTTTAGCGGCCGCATGCCCTGTGCAGAGCTTGCAGATAGTATTGTTCAGTGTGGCCGCAGAACACTAGAGAATGCAATATCCTTTGTAAATGCACATGACAAGTGGAACGCAAAAGTTATCTATGGGGATACTGATAGGTAAAGACAGTTTATCTCTGAGAAAGATAAAAGCATCATTTCGATGAAAATTTTCAGCAATTTTAGCCCATAACTGTTCTTGTACATCAATGGTCATCTTCAATACTCAAAAAGTTGTGACTTGTGAGATGTTGCAAACACCATTTTTTTGAGTTATGGAGGTTCGCTATAAGTTGTTTCCCGGTTTATCTGGTTGCAACACTAACTGGTCTAGTATCGATTTTATTCAGAAGTCTTTCCCACTCTGGATGTTATTCATGGAAAATGAGCAAATAGTGTTTAATCTAGACACATAAAAACCTTATGATTATCTGCCTATTAGTCTGGCAAGTGATAATTTTCTTTCCTTTTTTTTTGTGCATAGTATGTTTGTCCTCTTGAAAGGACGAACTGTCAAGGATGCTTTTCAAATTGGGCAAGAGATCGTCTCTGCAGTAAATGAGATGAATCCAAACCCAGTTGCTTTGAAGATGGAGAAAGTCTATCACCCTTGCTTCCTCCTTACAAAGAAACGTTACGTAGGTTACAGCTATGAGAGTCCCGACCAAGTAGAACCTCTCTTTGATGCCAAAGGTATTGAAACAGTACGCAGAGATACATGTGGAGCAGTCGCCAAAACTATGGAGCAATCTTTGAGGATCTATTTTGAGCATCAAGACATTTTCAAGGTAAAGTCTTGCCTTTTCTCTTTCTTCTGTGGATATTTTTCCTTATTTTTAAATTAATTACCAGAGCAAATTTAAGGACTCATTCCAAATGTTTTCCTGATATAGTATCGAACTTAAGCAGGTGATCTTCTTCTTTTCCTTGGTGTTCAAGTTGAAGAACTTGTAAAGTTAGACATTGTGATCTTGGATTTTATCTTGTCCAGACATAATTGGAAAAAAGGGGATTCATACTATTTGATATGTATGCATTTATCCAAATATACCATCTAGACTACTTAATACTATTTAAATTACTAAGACGACACTTACTTCTCAAGTCTACACCTGGTTCATTTGTTTACTCTTTTTTGCGCTGGTTAAAGGTGTCAACTTGTCTCTCTATTGAGGATTTGTACCACATGCTTGTAATAGAAAGGACTTCCTAATCATGGTGGCAGATGGATTATGTGTCTGTCTAAAACTTGGAAGGGTAGTTTAGATTCATTTGAAAATCTGCCTTTTAGTCTTGTAATTAGTTCCACACTACAAAAATCTGACTCTTAAGTACATCTGCCCTTGGTTTCCGCTCTAGATATCAGGCAGATGGTGTGTTTTGGAGAAGGATAAAAGGTTTCGTTAGTTTATAGATAATTATATGCTGCATGGCTACGTGTGTGACAGGTGCTCTAAAAAATTCAAACCATGCTAGTTTTAGGAGTTTGACTATTTATTGCAGACTTCATTACCTCTCTATGAATTGAAACAACTAAATGTACATGTCTGTCTACTTATTCTCACGTGATTATCATACATTGGGGGTTTCAATGGTTCTGCTGAAACCCCAATTATTTCTGAAGAATGCTTATGATCTGTTGTTCCATAATCTTTCAAACATGGTGATTCTGTTGGCCCAGAAATAAACATTGGAGAAGTTGGTAATCTGAGTGATCCAATTTATTTTTTGACGTTTCTGGAATGCGTAATTTCTTCAGCTGGAAGCCTTGCTTTAAAAGGTGATTTATAGAGTTTTAAAGTGCTACTTCATATTGCTCTCTTTGCACAGGTTAAAGCATATTTAAACCGCCAGTGGACGAGGATTCTCTCTGGAAGGGCATGTCTTCAGGATTTTGTATTTGCGAAGGAAGTTCGGTTAGGTACTTACAGTACAAGGCCCTCCTCATCACTCCCACCTGCAGCAATTGTTGCAACGAAAGCAATGAGAATCGATCCCAGGGCAGAACCACGTTATGCGGAAAGAATACCATATGTTGTTGTCCACGGGGAGCCAGGGGCACGCCTAGTGGATATGGTCGTTGATCCCATGGAGGTTTTGGCGATTGATTCACCTTTTCGACTGAATGAACTGTATTATATAAAGAAGCAGATAATTCCAACTTTGCAACGAGTATTTGGACTTGTTGGTGCTGATCTAAACCAATGGTTTTCAGAGATGCCCCGCCCTACTAGGGAAAATTTTGCGAAACGTCCCATTAGCTCACCTAATCCTCAGCGAAAACGAATTGATTTCTACTATCTTTCAAAACATTGTATACTTTGTGGAGAGCTGGTCCCGACATCAGCATATTTATGCAATGAATGTTCACACAAGAGGCCAGCTGCTGCAACAGCTTTAGTTGGAAGGACATCAAGAGTTGAGAGAGAGATGCAACATCTTGCTTCAGTGAGTATTTCTATCAGTTGATTCGTAATGGAGTCTGTAGTATTAAGGGTGTGTTTGTTTCACAGAAAATGAATTATTTGAAAGATATTTTCCTGAAAACGATCGCTTGTATCGCGTATAGAAATGAATCAACGAAAAATATTTTCATTGTCCATGAAAATGGTTAGACATAAATTGTTGTTGATAATGAAAACAATCGACTAATTATATTAAGCAACACGAGCGATCATTTTTAGGAAAATATTTTCCAAATCATTCCTTTTCCGTGAAACAAACGGAACCCGAGTTTTCTGTCAGTTGACATTTATTTATTTGTCTATCTGAATGCATTCTAGGGGTGATGTTGCTGACTTCATCCTGCTAGATAATTCAAAGAATTGTAAAATATTTTCTTTTATCATTATTGTATCAATGGTTGAGCAATAATCTCCTAATATTTTGACCCATGAAGCTCTTGTTCCAGGATCTTATGGTGTCGTACCTGCCTTTTGTTTTTTGTCTTAAGAAGTACTTTTACCTTTTCCTATTTAACTGTCTAACCAGTGTAAATTTTCCTGTCCCTATTGTATTCTAATCAAGATTTGGAATATATGGAGTTTCCACATGCGTGCAGAATCCTGTGTGGCAGCATTTCTCCATCTTTCAGCTTCAATCTTATTTAGCAATATCAATGAGCTCGCAGTTGCTTCACAATCATTTTCTTTGAATGATTCATGCAGATTTGTCGGCATTGTGGTGGAGGGGACTGGATTTTGGAAAGTGGAGTGAAGTGCACTTCACTCGCTTGTCCAGTGTTCTACGAGAGGCGCAAGGTTCAGAAAGAGCTACGAGGCCTTTCCACCGTGACCAATGAGGCAGGCTTGTACCCAAAGTGTATGGTCGAGTGGTTTTGATTTTCGACCATAATAGTCGGGTTCCCTTCGAGAGTGAACAGGGTCAAAGGAAGTGCTTGCATCTTTGCCGCTTTCAGCCGTGGGTGATTTGCTTTCTGTTTCTTGTCGAGGTTCTCAGTTTGTTGTTGTAAAGTTGTCTGTAAAGTCATCGGTAAACTTTCATCCTTCGAATCCGTCGATTCATCTGATCTTGGTTGAGTGGATGGAAGAACATGTAAGCCCAGGTTGATGTTCAACCATGAAAGAGCACGACAGAGGACTCGTCCGCCTTCTTCTTGTGTCGAGCCCTGAGCAGAGAACGAATGCCCGAAGCACACTCTGGTTCTTTCGAAGCCATTGAGTCTAACCAGCCGATGGCACTTTGAGTTTATATGAGAGCTGCGAATCGGCTGCATGTACAAGGATCTGTAACTGGGTATACAACACAAAAGGAAAAGGAAAAGGAAAAGGAAAAGTTTAGGCGTTTTTCTACTGTAAATTTGTAACCATGACAGTGTCATCAGCTAATGTTATACTAAAAGCACAGTTGAATTGAATTGCAGTCTTTGCTCCAACATTTGAAGTTACAGAGAGGAGAGGCTACACAACTTGTGATTGTTGTGTAGCCTCGCTGCTTCTCCCTGTCGATCGTAATCCCATCCTCGAACTTTCATACATTTCGCAAAACCCAACTTTACGTTTCAATTAACGAATGCGCTAAACTTTAAATTATATAATAACTTGTGCATTTTAATCAAATTCCAACTGATCTTTACAACTATCGACCAAAATACTAATTTTACAATTGAAAGCCCAACCCACTTGCGTCCTACATGACCGGTCTTCGGCCCATTTCAGAAAAGGCCCACCAAGGGCCCATGTGGGGTTTTAGCCTCCGTCTTCTTCCTCCTCCTTCCCGCTTCCGCTTCCGCGGCGAGACCGACTGACACTCTGTAAGAGATTCATGCCCGACGACGACGACGACGACGACGTCGACGTCATCGCTTAAACCCTAAACTTTCTCTCTCTAAAACCCCCCACCTCCTTCTCTCTTCCTCTCTCTCTCTCTCTCTCTCTCTCTAGATGTCACGAACCCCATTCTCTCTCCTCATCCTCAGGCGCCTCTCCCCTCCTTCCCCGACCCCTAGGCCCCGCCCCCCCTCCGCCGGCCGGCGCTACTCCTCCGCCTCCCCCTCGGCTCCCTCGCCGGAGCCGCCGCCGAAGCCGTCCAACCTCTCGGCTCGCCTCAGCTTCGTGTTCGACCAGATCGACGCCATCGAGAAAGAGCGGGAGCGGTCTCAGAAGGACGAGACCCTCCAGCGGATACGCGCCTGGCGCGAGGCGAAGGGCGGCGGCCACGTGCCCCGGGGCGCGGGCGCCGAGGCGGCGGCGGCGGAACCGGGCCCGCGCGGGGCGTCGGGCTTGGACGGCGGCGATGGTGAGGACGAGGGCTCGAGGGGGGAGGAGGTCGGTTCGCCCGAGAGCGGAGCGAGTGGTTCGAGAGGAGGGGAGGCGGTGAAGGAGGTGGAGCTGGTGCATCCGTGGAGGGAGTGGGTTGAGTTGATGGAGAGGCTGGTGCAGCAGAATTACTTTGATCATAGGAGGAAGGATGAGGACAGGATGGTGCGGGAATCGGGGTTCGAGGTCGGAGATATCCCGGAGGAGCGTTTCGATGGTAATGCCGATCTCAAGACTGTTCAGACCGCTTGTTTGAATTTTGGGAAAGACCGGTTCGACATCTTGAGGTATGTGGTGGTGATCGTTGAAGCCATTTCGCACTCGCAGTATCTAATTTCATAGCAAAGTCCCTCTTAAGACGTTCCAAATGTGATAACTCTGTCAACTGTGGTTCTTAACTAAGGAAGACTGTAATGAAGCTTGCTTTATATGCACGGTGGCGTGCCATGTAAGTTTTCCTAGTTTTCACTGAAAACTCGGCAAACCGACAACTCGACCCAAATGTGGGTCATTTTGAATAGAAGTGAGATAACTGAAAGTAATTTTAACATATTGTTTATGCTGGTTGGTTTTGAGTTTTTCTTCTCATGCTTTGCTTATTGATTAACACTGTTGGGACACAGTCATATTGCTGTGGTTGTGTGGTGAATTGTGTCCTATGTAGACTTTTTAGCTTGAGTGTGGAGTTTGAGTTCGTTCAAAAGATCCGGTTTTTTCTGCTTCTGTGAATGAATATCCTGCTAATACGACTTGTCTGCATCAAAATAGTAATGGTTGTGTAGTAGTGACCAGAATGTTCGGTAATAATAGAGGTTACATGAGAACTTTGAAAGTGTGCAATTTAAGTTTGTTGCCATTTCGCAATCTCAGTATCTAATGTGATAGCAAAATCGCTCTTAAGACGTTCCAAATGTGGTAACCTTGTCAATTGCTGTTCGTAATAAAGGAAGACTGTAATGAAGTTTTCTTTATATACACGGTGGCATACCATGTAAGTTTTTGTACTCGGCAAACCGACAACTCGACCCAAATGTGGGTCATTTTGAATACAGTTGAAATGACTGAAAGTAATTTTAACATAGTGTTTATGCTGGTTAGTTTCGAGTTTTTCTTCTCAGCTTTGCTTGTTGATTAACAGTGTTGGGACACAGTCATATTGCTGTGCTTGTGTGGTGAATTGTGTCCTATGTAGACTATTTAGCTTGAGGGCGGAATTTGAGCTCGTTCAAAGATCTGGTTTTTTCTGCTGCTGCGAATGAATATATAGCTAATACCACATGTCTGCATTAAAATAGTTATGGTTGTGTAGTAGTGACCAGAATGTTAGGTAAAAATAGAGGTTACATGAGAACTTTGAAAGTGTGCAATTTAAGTTTGTTGCTGGTGAGTATATCTAGAGGTTTCTTGGCTTAAGGGTTTATTGGCCAAGTAGGGTTGGTAAGGTGCTCCACTTTTCTTAATTTTACACGAGGAATGGTTAAGATCAGATCTAGTAAATATATCAGTATCCTTTCTAGCTAATAAAGTTTGAGATTTCTAATTTGGATTTTAATAAGGAAGAGCTGGTGGATGTTGGTTAGCTAGACTGCTACATGGTTGAGTTTTCCCATTGGAAACTGAAGCACATTTCACTTGATGTATTCACAATGTACTCCCTGAGTCCATTTAAAAAAATCATTTCAATGTGGACGTGAGTGTGAATGTCTGGAGAAAAGGCCTTCATCAGGGCTCCAGCTTGATATATATTTGAATAATAGTACAACGGACGAATAATCATTTTCTTCTTTCAGGAATGATCCTTTTAGGTGGTTTTATGTTTAGATTCCCAAGTATAAGAATAATAGGATGAGCACAGACCAAGTTGACACTGAAGCCAATCGAAGTTGGATCTTTCATGATCTCAACTCATATTAGCGAGTAGGGTTGAGATTATTAACTGCCTTTGCACTAAAGTCTTTGTATATGATAGCACCTTGTTTAATATTGGCTGAGGTAAAATTGATGTCAGGTCATTGTCGAGACAGGACATTCAAATTCTTGTTGGTTACGGATGCCCTAGTGCTGACAAGAAGGTGGTTATGGCTGCCAAACTATTGAGAAAGCATGTGCACCTTGATGAAGGAGATGTAAGAGTTGCATCTTTTACTTGTTAGTTCTTCTGAATCTGGGTATGATTTTTTTGTCTACTTGGACAAACTGGGTTATTTGTTTTGGGTATTTTAATCTTTGTTTTTAATGAACAGGCTTTATCATATCTTCATTTTCTAGGTTGACCCTTCAAATGATCTAAATGTTCACCATGCTGCTTCTGCTGCCTTTATATGAGAATAGTTATGCAAGCATGCATATCTGTCCTCTCTTTCTACTTTTGAGTATCTATTTTCTTATTATTTTTCAGTAAAAGTACTTCTCCTCCATCTTCAATTGCATGCATGTAATTTTCTCTTTCTTAAATTTCTATATCCTCTGGATATAACTGATTGGTTTACAGGTTTGTAGTTCCTGCAATCTGAGGAGCTCCTGTGAAAAAGCCTATCTTTTAACCAACAAAGAGGACGAGGCGCGTACAATTGATGTAGTGCGAGTTCTATCTACATTCGGTCTTGATCATGCCCATGGCTTAGTGACAAATAAATCTCTTCTGAAGCAAAAATCTGTGAAAATTGTTGTCCGCAAGTTGCTTCATCAGATCATTAAGTTGAGTGCAGTTCCTATTGATCCAAACCTTCCCCCTCCAGTTATCAAAAGACCTCCACCGAAGGTCAAACAACCTCCACCAACTCCGAAGAGACGAGTTGGACGGGATGATGTAGAAATGAAGAAAGGAGACTGGTTATGTCCTAAGTATGATTCTTTACTGGTTTCTTACACTCGCATGATTTCTTCTTAATTAGATCCACAATTTCATTAGATTTTGCTGATCACCTCTTTGTGACGGTCATATGCATAATATAAAATACTTGGACAACTGGTGTGATTTCCACAAAATTTAAATTAAAGCCTTTTCTGGCACTTTTTCTTCACATTTAACTCCCCATCCCGTGAGATCTTCCTATGGACTTATCTACACAGACCTTGCAGTGTCTGAAGAGCTGAATGTTGCTGGATATTTATCATTTTGAAAAAAATTAAATCTTTCTTACCTTTTTCTATTTGATGATGATTCTTATATGCATGAATCTATCAAAGTTGGTCTTTCTTGAAGATGCCAAAAATGTAGTAATATGGTTTCAGGTGTGACTTCATGAATTTCGCAAAGAATACAGTGTGCCTACAGTGTGATGCGAAGCGTCCAAAGAGACAGCTGCTTCCTGGAGAATGGGAATGCCCGGAGTAAGTCTTCGAAACGCTGAGATTATTTGAACATTTGTAGTTTGTGTATGCATTGATGGTGCCAGCATTCTTGGAGCTTTACAGTTACATCATCTGTTGTGCAATTTCAAGTTTTCATATTTACATGCCTGTTCTTTACTAGTTGTGGAAATTGCCGCACCCTTTTAAAAATGTTGTGATTATTTTATATATGCTTTAAGTCGTGGTCCCAGACTCCGTCTCTCCCTGAGCTTGGACATTTTTATTTTTTTGCATTGATGGTGCCAACGTTGTTGGAGCTTAATTGTCGCATCATCTAGCATGCAATTTTAAGTTGTTTACATGCCAGTTCCTTTTTAATATTGCAATATTCTTCATTGCTGCAGTAACTTTTTTTCATTATGTCGTTGAAAATATAATGAGCAAAAGTGTTGAAGAATCTTCATTGTGTACAGAGAGGCTCCAGCTGTGCCTCTGTGCTTCTAATTTTGCGACATACTGAATGAAAGGTGCATACTAATTGTGCATGTTACATAGCTCATACTGGTCCTGGTCCATGTTTTCTGGCAGGTGCAACTTCTTAAACTACCGGAGAAATACGGCCTGCTTCCATTGCGATTGCAAGCGCCCACCTGACCAGTTCATGGAAGACAAATTGCAGGAAAGACGTCAGAATCCAAGGACAAGGTTGGAGAGGACTGCCAGCCGCCCAGAAGTCTCTAATGCATGGAACTTCGATTTTGATGATGATGAATCTGATGGAGCAGATGTTGCTGCTTTTGAGTATGCAGACTCGACAATGAAGGGAGAAGATTCTTCTTTACATAGCCTGGAGCAGGGAAGGAATCATCGAGGGTTTGAAGATGATTTTCATCGCAATAATAAATTCCCAAGAGTTGGTAACAGAGAATATTCTGATTCCGATCACGGTTCTCGTGCCGGTTTTGATGATTTTGATGATGAGGAAGATGACGTGGACAGTTACGAGCTAGAAACACGGAATAATCAATCGGTTAGGAATGGGTCCTCGATAGATTTTTCTGAGGTTGAAGGGGACTCCGGGTCTGAAGATGGAGACTTGGACAAGAAATCACTTGCTCGAGAAAAACCAAGGTCACTCTCGCCCAATAGGCCATTGAAACCTTTACGTCGTGGGCGCTCTGTTCCTGGTTCATATGATGACGAAGTTGATTTTGATTCTGAGGATGAGACTTCGGTCCGTCCTAACTGGAGATCTAGTCACGTTGCGGATTCTAGAAATAGAGGCAAAAGTAGAAGTCCTCCAGGTAAATTCAGGGGATTGAGCTATGGCTCAGATGAAGAAGCTGGGCTGTATTCAGATTCAGCTGATGATTCGGATGAGGACCAACGGATGCGGAGAAGTAAAGCGGGTAAATTTTCTGATAAAGTAGTACGTCAGAGGAATTCTCGACTTTCTGGCTCCGAATCAGATGATTATACAAGTTCCCATGGAACCAAGTTTAGAAGAAAAGGCACATATCCAAATAGAACAGGGAGCAAATTTGATGGGCGTGGCTCGCGTAGTAATAGGAGCAACTTTTCGGATGACGACTTCGATAGGCCGTCAAGAGGAGCACGTGGAGGTATCAAAAGTAGAGGACCTCGAGCGGATGAGTTCAGTGGGCGGAGGAATGATCGAAGATCGGATGGTCCAAGGAATTATAAGAGTCCTCCCAGAGCAGGAAAATTTGAGAACAACCAGCTTGGAAGGTTTAACAAATACAAGGATAACAGGGGCGGCGGTGGCGGTTCTGATGACTTCAGAAACCGAAGGCGTGTAATCGAGCGATGATCTCAGTTTACGACTTACGACAGATATTAACTGAATTCACGTATGCATGCCGTGTGAGCTGGTTTGGATGAGAATCCCCCATTGAGCAGCATCAGCAGCATCACGTTACTGGAAAAGGGGCTTCCAACCGTCTGATAATCTAAGGTATTATCCCTGAGAGCACGGCAGAAATGGTGAAGTGATTTGATCTTTCCTCTTCGCCTCGTAATTTAATTTCGGGGAAGAAAAATACAGAATTATTGTACCAAACTTGGGCGTGTCGAGGAGGCTCGCCGTCGTCGGATGCGTGATCATTTTCTTTTTCTTTCTGAAAATTGAAATTTCATACTGAATCCTTGTAATGAAATGAATAGAGCCCACAATTTTTGCGATCGTTGGCTTCGGCTCCTTTGTCCATCTCTCTGTTTTCTCCGGATGATGGGGCTCGATTGTTGGAATGCATCGTGCAATGAATTTCAAGCAGTTTGTGGTGAAAACTGATATTATTCTACATTGGGTAATTTAAACGCACTTCAAATATGTTTTATTCTCATTCTTTTTAGTAATGTTTACTACTTTTAAATATGTACAATTACCTAGTCATCATCGCATCACTAGAGTTATTCTGATGCGCTTGTGATTTGGTGATGCCCCTTGTTGATTCTTCTCGTGTCTTTAGATGGACTATTCCGTTACGCATTCTGATCTTCTTCTGCAAGGGTCTCTTGACCTCTTGGCTTGCGTCCTGCTTTAGGGATGATTGCGACTGCTGCCGATTCCTTAGCTACGGTTATTCGCCGGTCAAGGATCCTCATTGACTCAGTCCAGTTATCTGTGCGTGGTTCGGTTAATTGATCGTCACCATTTCAGTTGAATTCTATCTATTAGAAACGGCAAAAGAACACTACAAGTGCCATAACTTGTGTACGGCGTTCACTTTAGTGCCATAACTTTTTTTTGGATCACTTTAGTGCTAAAATTTTTGAAAAACGATAACTTAAGTGCTAAAATTTTTGAAAAACGATCACTTAAGTGCCAACTCCGGTGCTGTACACAATTTTTCGCCGGAAATCTGACGTGGCATTTTTTTTATTAATTTCTGAAGCTAACGTGGCTCGCCGGAGTCTCGCCGGAGATTGGCACTTAAGTGATCGCTTTTCAAAAATTTTAGCACTTAAATGATCGTTTTTCAAAAATTTTAGCACTTAAGGGCGCGCATGGAATCTATTCTGGAGCAGAAATTCTGCTCCAGAATGCATTCCGGAACAGAAATGCGTTTGTTAAAATAATTTTGGAATGCATTCTGGAGCAATTTTTGCATTCTGGAATAAAAACGCGTTTGGTAAAACTTCATTCTTTTTTTTGCTCTAGAATGAATTTTTGCTTCCAGAATGAGTTTTGCTAAAAAGAGAAGCTACTTTTTGTAGCTTCTCTCTTCCGAATGCATTCTAGCCCAAATTTCCTTTTTACAAGAAATAAAAAATTTCAAAAAATGAAAAATAAAAAATTTCAAAATTTCACAAAATGGCTTAGAATACCTGTGGCCATTCACTTTGAGTGAAATTTAAATTTTTTGAGGTGCAAAAAAAAAAAGAAAAATAATAAAAAAATAAAAATTTTCAAAACTTCACAAAATGGCTTAAAATACCTGTGGCCACCCACTTTGAGTGAAATTTAAATTTTTTGAGGTGCCCAAAAAAATAAAAAAAAATAAAAAATTTCAAAACTTCACAGAATGGCTTAGAATATCTGTAGCCACCCACTTTGAGTAAAATTTAAATTTTTTGAGGTGCCCAAAAAGATAAAAAAAATAAAAAAATTCAAAACTTCACAAAATGGCTTAGAATACCTGTGGCCACCCACTTTGAGTGAAATTTAAAATTTTTTAGGTGAAAAAAAAAATTAAAAAAAATCAAAAATTTCAAAACTTTACAGAATGGCTTATAATACATGTGGCCACCCACTTTGAGTAAAATTTAAATTTTTTTAGGTGCAAAAAAAATCAACAAATCAAAATAGATTTCTGTTCCAGAAATCAATTTCTAGAGCATAATTAGTCATGTTTTACCAAACAGATTTCTCCTCCAGAAATCAATTTCTGGCAAGAATTCCAGAAATCAATTTCTGGTAAGAATTTGATTTCTGGAGCAGAATGGTTACCATTCGCACCCTAAGTGATCGTTTTTCAAAAATTTAGCACTGAAGTGATCCAAAAAAAAGTTATGACACTTACGTGATCGTTTTTCCTCCGACTTGACACCAAGTGATCCGAAAAAAAGTTATGGCACCAAAGTGAGCGCCGTACACAAGTTATGGCACTTATAGTATCCTTTTACCTATTAGAAACTCATGATCGATGAGCCAATGGGCTTGTGAGTCCAGGGTATTGTCGTGGCTGGTTTGGGCCATTTGCTTTTTCACGTTTTGACACAAATTTTGGGCTTGGTGTCAATACATGATTAGTGAGAAAAAAAGAAAAAGAAAAAGAAATGCCGTGTCTTTCCACGCCATCGAGAATGAAATAAGAGAGAACGATGTTGATTTCGCAGCCATCGACAGGTCGGAAGCAATCAATTTCGTCTAGGCTTGGGTTGAAAATGACTTTAGGGGGATTGGGATACCTACTGGTATCTGTTCTGTTAATTTTTTTCCTCTGATATTATACACTTTTTCTCATTTAACCGATTTCTTAATTGCAAGTTGTGTATTGACAATGTTGTGATTTTTTGCTGCCTTGTTTGTCTTCGTTCGTTGGCCATCTGCAATTATTTGTCAGGGAAGTTGGACAGAACCACAATGGATTCTTTCCTCATCATTTCCCTCTAATATTATATATCTCTCAACTAATCACTTTCTTAATCGCAAGTTGCTTGTTGATGGACAATGAACATGCGTATTTTTGTTGTATGTGAGAGGGAGAGAGACAGTTTGGGCGATGCCAATGAAAGTTTCTTGAGAACACAACACATTGACTTGCTGGCTCCTACTTGTGTTTCTTGATTTGTTTAGCAGCACTTGGCTTGTGAAATTGTTGGATAGCTGCCAGTCCATAACTCGGGCTTGGCATTTGATCTAGGAGCAGTTTTGACAACCAACGCCAGCTTGTCCTTTAGCAACGTTTACTCAAGTCAAGTCAGTCAGTGCTCATTATAAGAATGGCCAAACATTTCCTCTTTCTCTGTCATTGGCCCTCTGCAAGAACTCAGCAAAGAATCCCTTCGTCCTCTAGTCATTCCAAGTCGAAGCTGAAGGTATTGAAACATGTTGCTCGATTGCATTTTCTCTTCACTGGATTTTCAGCTCCCTGCTGTTTTCTTCCCTCCACGATGTCCACTCCGTTTTGTGTTGTGCTGATACGTCCACTTATGTTCTGGTGTTATCAGCACTGGTTTTGGCCTAAGCATTCCTCTTCCTCCATCTTGCAGACAAGTCAGCAGCCAAGAAATCTCAACTCCTCTTGCGTCCTTACAGTAAAGCCACTCCTGGTATGGGTATCATCATATTTCTACCTTTTGTGTGCTATCAGTGCTTGTTTCACATTCACCCTCTTTATTTGGTAATCTATATTGAATAAACCCTACAGAAAGCAAAAAAAAAGGGGGGGGGGTGGCGGTGGAACGGGAAGGGGGGCAGAAGAAGAAACATAAATTTGTGAAATAACTGCAACATAAACACATTTCAGAGGCACCAATATTTGTCTCTCTAAGCTTTTGTATGTCTCTGAAATGGTAATTGTATGGCATCATGTTTAACCATCTTCTTGGTGGTAGCGTAACTCGCGACTTGGAAATAAGAGGGTGAACTCTGAAAATTAGCAATTCTCTCCTCACAGACATTTAGACAGTTCAACCAGTACAAATAACATGAAAAATTATGATTTTTACTCATTGCAAAACACCTAAAATCCTTTAAAGCATACAAATATTGCATGTGAATTCACACATAACATTTCAAAATTATCATTACACATATTGCTTATTTGCTTACTTCATTCTTCATATACAAACCGGTAGGTATAAATAGTTGGACTAGTTGAACTGATTGAAGATACCCGCCTCACTCCGATTTAACCTCAATACCATTTTAAAAACATTGCTCACAATCAGACACCAGAATGGCTGACTAAAAGTCATCCGTTGTGTCTCGAAAGGTAGGTATATGAAAATCTTTAATTAAGGGCCACAACCTTAAGTTCATATAACTATCCATAAAAATTTCTTTGATGGACGACCTCGCTCTTAATTTATTAAAGTTCCATTTAATTTGCTTTATTCAAAGTAATGTGCAAGTGTATATGTAGATTATACCATTGGGAAATGAGAGAGAGAGAGAGAGAGAGAGAGAGAGAGAGAGAGAGAGAGAGAGAGAGAGAGAGAGAGAGAGAGAGAGAGAGAGAGAGAGAGCAAGTCCTATGCAAACACATACGGGGCTCATATGCATTCTATTGACAATAATTCATCAAATTTCAATTGCAAAATAGCATAATGCAAATTAAGATTGGTGTAACAAGAATATATGATTTTGGAAAATTCCATAATTATTTAAAAACTTCCCAATCCCTTGAGTTTGACTTTACTTATTTATAATAGTCTGTTTCTAACTTTTTTTTTACTATTCAATTAATAAATTTTTGCCAATAGGCATGCGGCCCTACTAGTAAAGGGATTGCGGGGTGGGGACGATAGTAACATAGGTGTAAGGTTCGATTCTTGTGCTCTGCAAGAGACAGGAAAAGTTAGAGAGTGAGGAAAGTTAGAGATAGGACAGACAAAAAAAATTAATAACTTTTTAGTATACCTGAGTTTATACTTTAAATTTAGTCAAATTTTGCTATAACAAGTTATGTCCATTATAATCCACGCTGTGAAATATTGCTTGTTATTAATATGCATTAGAATAACTAAATATTACATGTTAAGAAATACAAATGGGAGGATTGGTGGGGCGAAGAAGGGCTCATACCTGCCCCATCTTTCTCCACCTTTTTGCCCAGCCAAATGCCTGCACGGCATTCCTTTTGGAGAAAATTTACCCCATTCTGGGTGTGGTTGGGAAAAGTGTTGAAAAAGTCCTAAACCTTTTGCATTTGTGCTAATTTAATCCTAAACCTTTTTTTTGCGCCAATTCAGTCCTAAATCGTTTGTCTTTATGCCAATTCAGTCATTCCGGCTAATTTTGGCCGGATTTTGGTGACGTAGACGTCGACTGGCCTACATGGCGTTGTCGGCGTTGACGTGGACAATTTTTAATAATATTTTAATATTTTTTTTATTTTTTAAATATAATTTCTGCTTTTTTTTCTTTTTTTGCCTTCTTTTCTCTTTTTTTCTTTTCCTTCTTCTTCTACCTTTGGCTGGTGACTGGACCGGTGATCGGCCATGGTCGGCCGCCTGG